AGCATATTTTCTTATTGAGAAAATTGATATAGCTACCCAATTCACTCATGGTGACTCTGACAGGCTTACAAAGGTAAAATCCCAATGCAGAAAACAACTCACCCCCAACAGTCAGACAATCACTTAATGAACTCCACATTACTCAGAAGACCCCAGGCCCATTGTTAGAACATGTCGTCAGGGCCTTTAAAAAGACTGTTAAAGTGGAGGCCAATATTATTTCTGCAGGGATGGTGTTCCACAAGGAGGCAGTCACCACAGAGAAGGTCGTCTTCTTGGTCTCACTAGATGGACCTCCTTAAAGAGAGCGGAACCAGAACATTCCCCGCATCTCTGCTCTGCTGCATCAGGTAGATACACCTGGGAAAATAACCTGGTCCTAGGCCAGGTAGGGCTTTGAAGGTGACAAAGCTCCTGCAAGAGAGGGAGCAAATATAGGTTTGCACAAAATATGTGGGCTGCCACATTTTGAACCAACTGAAGCTTCTAAATACTTTTCAAGGGCAGCCCAAGGCAGAGCACATTGTAATAATCAAAACAGGAGGTGGCTAGGGCATGGTAACTCTGTAAGCAGGGATTGTTGGTCAAGAAAGGGTGTAAGTGATACACAACTTGCATTTGCACAAAGGCCCTCCTGGCTATGATTGCCATTTGCTCCTTGAGCAGGAATTGTGATTACACACTGGATCTGTCTGGGACGGTGCAACCTCTATAATATTATTAGAATTGTAAGGGAGTGTGCTATTGAGTTATATGTAGCCATATAACTGATCCATTTGATAAATTAGAAAGAAAATTAAATACAGCTTGACTGAGTTATTGTATTTAAGAAACAATTTAAAATATGTTAAGTGATAGTTAATTATAAATTAAAAAATGTGGAGTAAAAGGGTTTTTTACCAATTAAAAAGAAAATAACCATGCTCCATTCTTATGGATTAAAAAAACATAGCTGGGAGATCTGCACACAAAAGACAAAGAAAGCGAACCATGTTCTTTTTCTATAAAATGTTTAGCTATGCCTTTTTTAGCCATGCCTTTAAAATTTACCAAGTATTTTTTTTAATGTAAGGGAGTACTTAACAATCACAATTTGCAATAATGAAGGCTTTTTGCTGAATAAGCAGATTGCCCCCAAACTTTAATTCTACTGCAGGTGTTTCATTTTTGAACTCTGAAAGATGTCCTTATATGGGAAAAAAACATCATCATGAACAAGTACATCTATTATCTCCGTAGATCAAGAACAATCTGGTGAGAATCTTTTTGGAATGAACTAGATGAGAATATTAATTCTTTAGGAGACAGAAAATCTGCACAAATTCTGTATCATATTTTAAAATTACAAAATAAAGATGCTGATCAGCAAAACTATTTTTATTTTCAGCTGCTCATAAGTAATAGACTACAAACCAATATGCAAACAGAATATAGCAACTGAATTTATTTTTAAATTATTTTCTGAGTGTTTAATACATGAGGAAGTTCTGTCATAAGCCATTTTCTGCATGTTACAACAAGTTCTTGAAAAAGTAAATGCAGTTCTTCATGGTACATTAATTTATGGGAAGGGCCATTATCTCTGTTACTATGCAGCAAGGATAATTTTAAGAAGATCGTTATCTTCTGTATTCCTGTTTGTATAACAATGTCATATATAAATTGAAGTAGGCAATTATTTTTAACAGGGCTGAAATAGTTTTGGAAGATATTTTAAATCCAGTGACATACAGATATCTCCCTTCTCCCCTCTCATTTCATTAGGCTTGCTATACTTGATTTTATAGTAAAGGTAAATATGTGACAAAATGAGCAAATCTTCAAGAGATAAATATGCAATTCCACTTGTGTGATTTATGAACGGTATACAAACATTTCAGTTTGTACATAGGAAGAACTAAGCCTAATGGCATAGAAGGCCTGGCTTAATTCCCAGAACTTTCCTTTCTGTAATAAGCAGGTGGGAGATCTGGTTTGGTACAGTGCTTAAAACATAAGGCGAGAAATTGGGAGAATGTGAGTTCTAGTTTAGGCATCAAGCCAGCTGAGTGACCTTGTGCCAATCGTGATCTCTCAGCCCCAGAGGTGGTATTCAGCAGGTTCTTACCAGTTCTGGAGGACCGGTAGTGGAAATTTTGAGTAGTTTGGGGAACCAGCAAATACCACCTCTGACTGGAGATTTTACAGTATTGTTCCCCTGCACGCCGACCAAGTCACACTCAAAGAACCAGTAGTAAAAAAATTTTGAATCCCACCACTGCGAAGGAACAATGGCAAATTACTTCCAAAATGTTGCCAAGAAAACTGTAGGACTTGTCCAACAAATAACAAGGAGTCAACACTGACTCAAAGGCACCAAAAGAAAAGAAAAATAACATAAAAATCAGATAAACAGGTACACCCGTTATTGTGGCCCACAAGTAAGGTTTCAGTTAGGTTCAGCTAAAAGGGTACATCAACTCTATTTTTCAATTCAATATATTTCTTAAAGAATCCAGCAGAAAAACAGCATACATTGTCACTTTCTACAGTATTTTAAAATAGTTGCTAACTAAATGTTTTAGAGAGAATTGTTTTACTCTGTCCCCGAGGCCTTGTAGAAAACCAGTTTCCACCCTTGACTTGTCAGCTCTGGCAATGCTATGTTGTGACTATGAATTTAATCTTTTCATTTCTGAAGCATAAGAGACTAAAAATAGTAGTTGCTTTGTTTTTGTTGTCTTAGTTTTGCTTGATTGTTTTATATTTTTAATGGATTTCTACTTTGCTCATACAGCTAGACATGGAAACATCTAAAAAAGCAAAAAACAAAAATGACATAGAATTCTTTATTGGCCAAGTATGATTGGACACACAAGGAATTTGTCTTTGGTGCATATGCTCTTAGTGGACATAAAGAAAAAATAAAATACATTCATCAAGAATCATAAGATACAACATTAGTGATAGTCATAGGTTACTAATAAGCAATCAAATCACACTAGGAAACAAATAAAACAATATGAATTGTAAAGATACAAGCAACACAGTTATAATCATAAGTGGGAAGAGATACTGTAGGTACTAGGAAGGATGAGAAGAATAGTAATACAGTCAATGAATAATTTTGCAGTGTTGTGGGAATTAGTTGTTTAGCACGGTGATGGCATTCAGGAAAAAAACGGCCCTTGTGTCAAGTTATCCTGGTGTGCAGTGCCCTATAGTGTTGTTTTGAGGGTGGAAGTTGAAACAATTTATGTCCAGGATATGAGGTGTAGATATTTTCACAGTCCTCTTTTTGACTTGTATAGCATACAGGTGTTCAATCAAAGGCAGATGGGTAGCAATGGATTTTTCTGCAGTTCTAATTATCCGCTGAAGTCTGTCTGCCTTGTTTGGTTGCAGAGCCAAATCAGACCGTTATAGAGGTGCAGATGACAGACTCAATAATTCCACTGTAGAACTGAATCAGCAGCTCTTTGGGCAATTTGAGCTTTCTGAGTTGGTGCAGAAAGAACATTCTTTGTTGTGCTTTTTTGATGAGGTTTTTGATGTTAGGTATCCATTTTAAGTCTTGATATATGATAGAACCTAGAAACTTGAAGGTCTCTACTGTTGATAGTGTGTTGTCTAGTATTATAAGAGATGGTAGTATAGGAGGGTTTATCCTAAAATCTACCACTATTTCTACAGTTTTGAGTATGTTTAGTTCAAGATTGTTCCAGTCGCACCACAAGGCTAGTTGTTCAACCTCCCGTCTGTATGCAGATTCATCGTTGTCTCGAATGAGACCAATCACTGTTGTATCATCTGCAAACTTCAGTACTTTAACAGAGGGATCTTTTGAGATGCAGTCATCGGTGTATAGAGAGAAGTGGAGAGAGTACACAGCCTTTGGGAGCTCCTGTGATTTTGCCTAGCTTCACCTGCTGCTTCCTGTCTGTTAGGAAGCTTATGAGGTGTCAGTTTATGATATGTCAATTTAGTGAGTTAAATCTAAATTTCTATATGCTGTATTTAAAATAGACTGTTGTGATAAAGACCCTTTGGCTACTGTTTGGGCCAGATGGTCATTTTATCACAATTATTCATTTTATTTATTTATAAATAAATCCAGAAAATCCACCTGCTATATCTAGCTAAGAATTGATACAGACTTAATAACATCCTCTTTATCATTACGCTTATTTTTTCTTAATTTTCTCCTCCTTGATCATATGACTGAAGGAGTGCAAATATTGGCTGGTGACCCAGAATGTCCGGACACCAGACGGAAGAACTGTTTGAATCTTTTGGAATTCAAAACATTAAAATAGCCCTTCCGCTCCCGATAAATGCAGTCCCAAACATAAAAATCCTATAATAAAATATTTAAAAAGTTTAATTTCGCACTCAATAACTATGCTACGTGATCGATATCCTTTCTCATTCTAAAGCGCATAACTATTTTATTCTACTTTTAAAATACCACTTTTTCATCTTTACAGCTTTAAGACTTGTGGACTTCAACTCCCAGAATTCGTCGTCCAGTTATGTTAGCTCAGGAATTCTGGGAGTTGAAGTCCACAAGTCTTAAACTTGCCAAGTTTGAAGACCCTTGAGACCTGGCTTTAACGTAGCAATCCGAAGAAACTACGAGTTCCATCTTTGCAATGCTTCAGTTTTTATCGCGACGTTCTCTCGGTTTTTCCACTCTCCACCCTGTAGTTGAATTCTCACCTCTGCGAATACTTCCGTATTAGTTTTCGAATTTTATATTTTGCATTGCAGAAGCGTAGGAGAGGGGTGTGAACGTTTTGAGGGAAAGTGGAAACAGAGGGACCGAGAGAACGTGGTGTGCGGGTTGTTCTCTTCCTGTTTACTCTGGAGGACATCTCAGGGAATTAAGTGAATTTGCGCTAAATAACCGAGGGTAGGTTGTGAAATTCTGTAGAAACGTCCTTGGAGCATAGGTTAGCAGCCTTCAGAAAACGTGCTTCTGCATGCATCACAGTCGGCGGCAAGTCTTAACACGATTTTTCTTGCCTCTCCACGTCAGCTGATGGACAGTTAATTGTGAACGGAATCCGTTTGCCCCAAATCCGTCTCATTTCCCCTTCCCAGTACTGGCTGCTGATCGCCGTCTAGCGCAAACAATGCTTGAGGTGAAGAAAGAAGCCTTTGGTGAATTGCCTCTTGGCGGAGGAACCGTAGAAAAATTCCTGCTCACATCCAACACAGTCAAAGTGGAAATCATATCCTTAGGCTGCATAATCACCTCCTTGAAGACTAAAGACAGAGGCGGAAAGTTTTCAGACATTGTTCTAGGCTTTGATCATTTGGAAGGTGGGTTTGGTTGAACTTTATAAGATTATTTACAAAGGGGAATTCTAATCTGCTTTCAGTTACCCAGGGGTCCCCAAACATGGCAACTTTAAGATTTGTGGATTTCAACTTCCAGCTATGCTATGCTGGAGACTTCTGGGAGTTGAAGTCCACAAGTCTTAAAGTTGCCAAGTTTGGAGACCTCTGAGTTACATCATTAATGTGTTTTTTTGAGGTTCCTCCTAAAGACTTAAACCAAGAGGAGGCCTGGCACACAGATTTTAGCAGTTTCTGTAGAACCAGTGACACTTGATCTCCAAGAGAAAGTTCCACCTATCTGTAGAGGCATAGGTAGAATTTGTAGCTTTGGTTACTAGATATATATTGCAGTAGATGTGATCAAAGATATTTTTATGGTGGGGAAGGGAATTCATAAAATTGAGTCAAGTGTGATTGAATACTAGATATGAGTCTAAGTGGAAAGAGGAATGAAACAAAACAGGGAATCCTGATCTTTTTAGTTATATTTCATTCTCATTGCATTTAAATCATTGAAGTTTTTTCACAAGTAGCTGCCTAATTGAGTTTGTTTTCATTTATGGAAGGAACCCAGCCCCCAAACTACTCTTTCCTTCACAGATGAGTAATTCAGGCACTCAAGTTCTTGTTTGGAAATGTTTTGACTTCACAAATTTAAGGAACATATAGCTGTGGTTTCTTTGTGCTTAGTTTCATAAGCATGTAGTAACATAATTGAGAAATTGAATTCTTCCCTTTACATAGTTCTCTCTTCTGTATTAAACTTCTCTATTAAGCCACATTCAGGGAACCGGCTAAAGTTTAATAGTAGATTAAGAATAGTAGAAGTGTTCCACTGCTGGTTGTCTCTCTGATATGTGCTGCTCTTTTAACAATTTTTGCAAGCTTACCTGAGGCGGTGTATGCCATATTAATTCAGAGTAGTTGCCATATGGCACAGACTCAACAGATAGTTAAGATTGCAGAAAGAATAATTCCAACCATAGAACACCTGTATATTGTGTAGGCCAGAAGGCGGGCTGAGAAGATACCTCCAGAATCCTCATATCCTGGACATAAACTGATTTAACTCTTCCTTTTGGGATGGTGCTACAAGGCATTGCAGGGCAAAACAACTAGAAACAGGGATGTCCCAAAGGTGCCTTTTCAAAAGGCAACTGGACTTTCTTTGTTTTTCATTGAAGACATATTGCTTCTCATCCAAGAAGCTTCTTCAGTTCCTTTTGAAAAAGCACCTTTGGAACTACCCAAAGGCCTGGATGACTGAGAATCTCTGTAGACATTTAGACACAGGGACAGGTTTTTCCCTCAGACTGAGGGAAAAGTTTATGTCCAAGATATGAGGATTCTGGAGGTATCTTCAGATACCTTCAGGCTTTGAAGAGTTTATATTTCTGCTAAATACCTAATTCTCACAGTGGTGTCTAATGTCTATATATATTTACCCAAGTAATATGGCTGTAGCATTATTATTTATCCTTGTTTTTATCCTTACATCTCCCTTTTATTATTATTATGATTATGATTGTGATTGTGATTATGATTGTCATTATTCTATTGCTTTGCACATACTCTGCACCGGAGACAAATTCCTAGTGTATCTAGTCACACTTGGCCAAATAAAGTATTCAGTTCAATATGTGATTTGAGGAAGTTGATATATGAAATCAAAGCCAGACACTAGTTTTACATTTTGGTTCCTGCAAGCTTAGAGTGGGAACTGCCCCAATTTAAAATGTAGTGACAGGTAAACCTTGAAGTTTGGTTGAAGTCCCATCAACAACAGGTGGTAAAATCACAACATATATTATCACATTAATTTACTTCAAAGACTATACGAGAGAACAATTTGCATAAGAGCTGAGTTCTTCTGAGTCAACAACTTCCCTTTGGATGAATTCAGGTCACAAATTGGTACAGTCCAGTTCTTTTAATTAACTATAGTAATTTTCACAAGTGTGTTTCATTTTTATAGGAAGGTAAAAGACTTCCCTGGTATCTTTAGCTGAGAGAATGCTGTTTCCCTTTGCATTCTAGCTATCCTAAACTTGAAAATTAGAGAAGGAAATCAAAGGTTTCAAATCAAATACAGTCAATTGTATTCACACTATTTGGGTAGCATGGAAATTATAGCCCAATACATTTGGATGGCTGTAGTAATTCTGCCCATCTTGGAAGTATGTAGTTATCAATCAGCAGTTCCCATATTGTGTGTTAGAAATGGGAATATTTCAAAGCCTAGTAAAGACTGAAACATGTATTGGCTAACTGCTGTTTGGAGTTGTAGTGATTAAATCCATGATAAGCTACATAGGTAGGTAAATATTTTTGAGGACCATAAGAAATGAAACATTATGAAAATAAGCTTCATTAATCATATCTGATGGAAGTAATCTAATCCATAAAAGCATATGCCAGAATCATGTAGTTAGCCTTTAAGACCCAATTAGATTGTTTTTCTTGAACCAGATTAACATAGCTACACTACTAGAAACAGAATTGTATTTTGATAATCTTTCTTTTGCAATGACTGTTTGGTAGCAACTTGGCTTTCCATTGCAAGAAAGACAGTTGCATTCTTTCATAATGATCAACAAATATACTTTTGTTTCCTATCATGTAAAAAGGAGGAAATTCCACTGTTTGTTACACTCCAAAGTGAGTTTAATGCAGAAAAGGTGCTCATTACTGTTCTTAAAATTATTCTAGCATTATTTATAATTAATACATAAAAGGACATTTTCAAAGAGAAGATTTCAAATGCTTAAAAATACTATTAATCTTGTAGACACCATTTATCTATTTTTTATAATTTTTAGTTCTAATATGGTTTCATAAAATAGCTTATCACAAAAAGATGTTATTGTTGTTGCTGTTAATCTTCAATTCAGAGTCTGGAACTTACTATGAATATGATTGATATGATATCTCATGCGACTCCCAACAAATTTGGGTTGGGAAGCAATATTACTGAGAAGATGATAGATGGCATTTTTAATCAATAGCACCAGATTGTTCCAACCCTGCTAGACTAAAATGGCTGTGCAGACACTATGGGAGATGGGTGTCAAACTCGCTGCGTCACGTTGCCATTCCAGTGTTTTTTCCCTTTGCGGAGCTGGGGTGGGCGTGGCCTGCACGTGACGCATCTGGCCTGCAGGCTGCCAATTTGACCCCTGGATAGTCCCTCAAGTAACCAGGCCTCAAACTATCACCTTGCATCACACCTGGAAGAAAACTGGAAACCAGAGCAGTTTATGAAACAAAGGTGTTACATGGACGTACCAAGGCATGTCCTTCACTCCCACACTTCTACATTCCAAACACATGCAGTCTCCAGGCATTAGGATAAAACATGAAGTGTTTACTTGGGCAGTTGGGGTTGCAATATATAATTGGGCATCATCAACAGACAGATGATATCAAATCCCAAACCAGCAAAGGAACACATCTAGCAGTTTCAGGTATCTATTGAAAAGGTGAGACAGAATACAACCCTGTAGTATCCCGCTACAGAGTGATCTCTTCCCCTCCACCAACACCACTGGAATCAGTTCTGGAGAAAGGAAGAGAATCCATTAAAAAAAATAACTTCAAAACAAACTTGGGTAAATGAAAATGTGCTTTTTGAATAATTTATATTTTTTCTTGTTGCTTCTTTGACTTATGTATATAATATAGAGTTGCCCTTTGTCAAAAACATGCACTTCTATGTTTACCCCCCCCCTTTTTTTTTTTACAGAGGGGTACTAAATTAAGCTGAAAAAGAGTGGCTGGCCCAAGTATGTGGATCTGAACTCAATACTACAGTACATTACCAGACAGCGGGTTTCTCAATCATGACAGCTTTAAGCTGTATGGAGTTCAACTCTCAGAATTCCCTAGCCAGAATATTGGCTGAAGAATTCTGGGAGTTGAAGTCCACATGGCTTAAAACTGCCAAGGTTGACAAACGCTGCCAGTGTACAATCCAATAAGTATTAACTTCAGGGTAGAAGTTCTTTGCGCAGAGCTCTTTGCAGACATGGCACTGGTACCTCCATTGAAATAAATGGACATCTTAACAAAGAAGTACCTTCTTTCATAAGATATTGCTCAATTAAGATTTATTGGGTAACACACCAAGGAAAGAAATGCTCTCTCAAATGGTTTTTAATTTTGACTAGCTTTACACTAAATTCTAAAATGTATATTATCCTGCTCCCTTTTATTCTCTTTCTTAGGATACCTCAGCGAGCACCCCTATTTTGGAGCTGCCATTGGACGAGTTGCTAATAGAATTGCCAAAGGGAAATTTACAGTGGAAGGACATGACTACCAGCTGGCCATCAATGACGGCTCCAACAGTTTGCATGGAGGAGTCAAAGGGTTTGACAAGGTAGATCCGCTAGTGAAGTTAATGATAAATTAGACAGAAGGTATTATTCTGTTGTTGTTTTTTCATTGTGAGGAATAATCAAGCTGGATTTTACGTTGTTAGGCAATGGTGCCAGATACCAGTTTTTACAGGCAACTCTAGCAATACAAGTTGCTACAAATCCTTTTGATCAAAATACACACAAAATTGACATGTAGTCTAAACTCTTCCATGTCTAGTAAGGAAGACTAGTGGGAAGTCTGAGCAAAAGCAACTTCTGTCCTCTTACGCAAAAGCAAGGGAGACTTTTGTTCTTAGAATCTTGCCAAGAGCAGCAGCTATTTGTGGGGTGAAATTTGTGGGGGTGGAATCCCAGTATCCCCATTTACTCCTATCTTACTCTTCTATTCTTTGGCCAGTTGCTTATCCTTGTCCTTTTGTTCCATAGTTCTTATGTTCATTGAGAAGTCTTTGATAATAGACTTTATGAAAGGCCAGTTTATTCATTTCATTTCATTTTCACATTCTACATCATATCACCTTAAGGACTGGGTAGTTGAAAATCTAAGATTTTCTCTTTTGAAAATTCCTAGGAGATGATGTCAATTTGCTTGTCCTTGTTTATTAACATCGTCAACCCCCCCCCCCCCCCGATTAATTAAATAGGGACTTCCCTTAGTTAAGCTATGTTGTGTTATCCTTTAGCAAGGCCTGTCTGTGTCTTCAACTGTTTGGTAATTTTATCTTTAAGAGCAGTGTCCACTATTTTCCTCATAAGTCTGGATTGCTATTACTGTTAATCTTCTCATTGTTCCTATCACCCATCTCCTCCCACTTATGACTTTGTAACTTTGTTGCTTGTATCCTTATGATTTATATTGTTTCCTAGTATGATTTGATTGCTTAATTTTACCCTATGGCTATCATTAAGTGTTGTACCTTATGATTATTGATGAATGTATCTTTTCTTTTTATGTACATTGAGAGCATATGCACCAAAGACAAATTCCTTGTGTATCCAATCACACTTGGCCAATAAAGAATTCTATTCTATTCTATTCTGTTCTGTTCTGTTCTGTTCTATTCTAGGTTATCTGGTTCCCTGAAATCCTACCAGATGGTGTCCGCTTTTTCAGAATAAGTCCAGATGGTGAAGAGGGATATCCTGGTGAGCTGAAAGTGTGGATATCATATACACTCAAGGATGATGAGTTAACAATTAATTACAGAGCTCAAACTAGTAAGGCTACACCAGTCAATCTAACAAACCATGCTTACTTCAATCTTGGAGGTCAGGTAAGTGTCTTTCATAACCATTACGGATATTCCCTAACCCTAACCATTTGAAGTTATTCTGGTGCTGAAGGAAGGGATTTATGGCTGGTCCTCCAAATTTGATAACACTTTCTTTCTTATAAGTGGTTTTGGGTAATGTAAAAAAAAGGCTTGGGAAGCACTGGTATAGGGGGCGAAGAGTTACTACATATCTGCCTCTACTTCTGTGATGAAGGTTGGAAGTAACATATTTTTCTTTATTTTGTTCTTTTTTCCTTTTTTATTCTTTTTAAGTTTAGATTGTATCAGATTTTACCATTGTAACAAACTTCATAATGAAAAATATATTAAAAATGAGATCCATGTCAAAACAATATTAATATATTGTCTTTCTGTATCTAGTATTATAGTATTTTTTGTTTTTATAACTCAGGGCTCATCCAATATCTATGACCATGAATTTACAATAGAGGCAGATTGTTACTTGCCATTGGATGAAACTCTGATTCCAACAGGTTGGTTAATCTGAGTGCCTTTGAAAGTGAAGCTGTATTCTAGGGAGAAAAATACTGGGCTTGTTATAAATTAAAGATCCTGCTTCCAAATTACCATTTAACAGTTTATATAATATGCTAACTAAAATTATGGGGGAATTGTTGAGATAATGACTGTCAAATTTATTGTAACATTATAGAAATTAGAACACATAGCCTGAGCATATACGTATATGTGTATATATATTTTCTCTTTGCTGTGGATCTGCAAAACTAGGAATGCAGTCTTTGGATCCCAGATGGGCAGATATTCAGCAGTTTTCCTTTTCAAAACAAATGCAAAAAACTGTTGTCCCATTTTAGAGCAGGGCTCTCAAACTGAGCCCATGGGCCAGATACGTCACATGTTGGCCATGCCTGGTTTAGTGAAGCGGGGGAAAGTCCCAATATGTCACAGTGTATTTAGTGCAGGGATTATTGTCTTTAACAGTAGCAACTGTGAAAAGCCAGCAGTCACTGTTATTTTTGTTTCATGTCCTTTCACGTTTTTATAACCATAATTATACACCTGAATATTTCAGTTCCTTTATATCCTCTTTTGACTTGTTCTCCTCTCGCCAATCAGGAAAGATCATGCCAGTGCAGGATACTCCCTTTGACCTGCGAAAGCCTAAAGAACTTGGGAAACATTTGCAGAAGTTTCAGCTGGATGGATTTGATCACAACTTTTGCTTGGTCCAGAGAAAAGAACCACATTTCTGTGCCAGGTAAACATTTGGTTTAATTCATTTATTCTCTATATGAATAGTTGTGAAAGTTTCACTCTAACTTTGCTTTATGCTTTTCTTTTTTGATTATTAATATACTGTTTTCTATTAAAAAAAACTACTAAATGCCAATTTAAATTCATTAAAATTCGAGTCCCTAACTCCAAAGGAAAAGAGGTAAGACAACAATACAGCAAAATTGTCAAGAGGATTAATTTCACTGTCAGAAAGTCAACAAGGTTATCAAGAGGTTAGAAGAATTATTTTTATCTGATAGAAGTCAGCAAAATCATAAATCTTGTATTTGCTATAATCACCACTATGACTTTATGTGAGAAAATGAGTATTCTGAACCAGATGTTAAATTTATCAAGAGCCGAGTCTGACATTATTCTGTTCCGCATTGAAATTGTCACTGGTGACAGCTCTGTCATATTACAATATAATTTGCTCCTGTTGGTTGGACAGAGAATGCTGTAAATGTACTGTAACATAGCCAAGCAATAGAGAGCTGCAGAGCTTTGGATTTCAAGGGGGAAAGGTATTTTGGAGGTTGCATGTGGATCCAGTCTGAATCCCTTAAACCAGTGGTGGCTAACCCTTTTGGGTTCCCATGCCGAAAATTGCGCGCGCTCATATACCAACACCCAGAAGGCAATGTGCATGCCTCTACGCCCCCTGCGCATGCAAGACCCCCCCATGCATCTTCTACACACCATTTCCCCCGGTGCATGCACACCAAATACCCGACATTCAGCTGTTGGGCAGGCAGCGCACACACATGCGCAGTGGGACTCTTCTGGGTGACCTCGTGTGCTAGCAGAAGTGGCTCTGCGGTGCCACTTCCGGCACGCGTGCCATAGGTTCACCATCACGGCCTTAAACCAAATGCACTTTTCCTGCTATTGAACAGCAGCCATCACATGAACCTCAGGAAAAGATGCCACTGTTTTAAGGAGTGCCAAGAAGTGCTATGCAAGGCTTTTATACTTTGACCTCCGCCCCCCCCACTTTACATACAAAACATGGCAGTTCTAATCTGCTTCATTTCCCTTTAGAATATGGATTTTAAAAAAATCAAGGAAGGTGGGAAACAGGTATTGTTTATTCTTATTTCTGTTCTTTTGATCACAATGATTTGGAATGTGTTAAAGCACTTATTTTTAAAATGATTCAGGATTTTGCTCATATTTTAACAATAAAACTAAGGATTATGTAAATAAGGCTCTCAACTGATTTTGAAAGAATAACTCCCATTTAATTCTGTTTGTGTCTGATGAGATTCATACCTACTTTATAATGGCAACTTTGGCCTGTCTCTATTATTTAAGTAGAATGTAAGAATCATAGGCTGGAAGGGTCCCCAGAGGTTTTCTAGTCCAATTCCCTGCTAAAGGAAGGAGCTCTTTTTTTTTTTACACAAATATTTCTCCAGTCTGTTTTTGAAAACCTCTGGTGTTGGATCACCTACAGCTCTAAGAGGCAAGCTATTCCACCGATTGTTTGGACTGTCCGAAAATTTCTTACTTCTAGTATCTCTAAAAAGTTTCCACCAATAATTTCTTGTCTGCCCTCTGGTGTTTTGCAGAGTAAGTCAATCCCCTTTTCTTTTGCGACAGCTTCTGAAGTATTGGAAGATGTCCCTGCTCAAGGGTTTTCAAATTTGACCGCTGTAAGACTTGTGGACTTCAACTCCCAGAATTCCTCTTCCAGTCATGTTAGCTCAGGAATTCTGGGATTTGACGTCCACAAGTCTTAAACTTGCCAAGTTTGAAGACCCGTAGACTAGACATACCTTAGCCTCAAGGCTCTTTATTGTCTTTGTTGCTTTTCTGTGCACTTTCCAGGATCTTAGCATCTTTTCTGTATCGTGGCAACCAAAACTGGACACAGTATTCCAAGTGTGGTATCACCAGTACAGTATAAAGCGATACTATCACATAATTTATTTAAAATGATGAATATACAGCTGTATTTTTGAAGAAAATTTAATTCTTAAATAAATTTTATGATCTCTTAAAATTATGCAATATGGCAATGTTTGTGGCAACAAATCTAAGGTTGCAATCTTATATCAAATCTGAAAATAAGGTTCATAGATTATATTTTAAAGGGCAACTTCTTTTATTTGAATTAGCACATCTTTCTCTAAAATCCAAGTATGAAGGAATGACCTCATTTTATCCCCCCCAAAAATAAAAGTTCAACTAAGACTAAGGCAGTTAATATTTCTATTTTAAAAGTGTAACATTTTATCAAAGACAAATGGAGTTTCTACATGTAGGAGTATACGGAAAATATCGTAACCATCTACTCTTTTTTCAGAGCTTATCATCCCCCTAGTGGCCGAATGATAGAAGTTTATGCAACTCAACCTGGCATTCAGTTTTATACAGGAAATTTCCTGGATGGGACTCTAAAGGGTAAAGAGGGCCATGTGTACTTCAAGCATTCTGGCTTCTGCCTTGAAACACAAAATTGGCCAAATGCCATCAATCAGGTACATTTTCTTAGATGTTATAAGAGAGTACATAAGTCTTGGACACCAATATATTGAAACCTTTGCCATTGGGGTATAATGGGTTGAGCTAATGAAGTATTGTTCCATTTGGAGCTAAGAGAAATCTTACATTGTCATATAATAGAATAATTTTTATATGCTACTACTCCCCCCAATTTTAAATTGCATTCAAAAAGTGATCCCTCCAGTTGAAATTTGATTCAACCTTCAAAGGAGAACCATGATTTCTCTATATCCTGACTAGCTCTTAATGCCAACAAATAGTAGATAGCCATCAAGCACTTATCCATTAAATGTGTCCATTTAGCCAATCTTTCCATGCAATTCAAGTTTGTTATTAAAAATGTAAAAAAAAAGGTTTTGTAAGAGATTACAAATATTCCAGTCATGTAGGAAATGTTTTTCACTTCAGACTATAGAAAGATTGGAAAAATTTCTGAGCTCTGATCACAAGTATTCTGAAGCTGTTTTTAAGATAATTGAGTACAAGTATGGTTCTTTTAAAGTGTTTTTTTTCTTTATAGCCTAATTTTCCAGATGTCCTGTTGTACCCAGGAGATGAATACAATACCACAACATGTTTCAAGTTTTCTGTATCTTAAATGAAATCTTGCTATAAGTTAATTTTGCAAAAATATTTTAAGTGATTAAAGAAGATTCTGAATATCCTAATTTTTATAGCACAAATTTCATAAAAGAAAACCATTAAAAAGGTAGTATTTGGATAAGTCCCCGCTTCATAGTAGACAAGTAACAACACTTAAGTTCACTCAACAGATTGAATATTATCATCTCTATCTGCGGTTTCCACCTTTTGATAGATTTTATCTAATATGACACCATGTAAATAAGAAGTGAAGTCCTAATTTAAAATCATGAAGACTTTCATTAAGGTGGTCTGTGGCAGTGTTCCTTGACGATGCAGGTATTACTGAGACATAATAATCTGATCGATTCCAAATGTGGGCTACTGTTGAGCAGTTTGGATAGTTAACATTGTATCATCACTTCTTTAATTCAACCATTCTCCTGTGAGCTGCTCTGAGCATCCAGGATTGGGAGGTGCTTCAGTCTCTGCATTTGTAGGCTGAGCCTGAATTGAGGAACGCTCCTCTTCCAACCACGTGACTCCTCCGTAGTGTTCCCCAGTTTTTGGTCAGCCTCGTGCGAGACAGACTGTTCTGTTCTCAGCTCCTTGGCTGAAGCAGGAAATTTTCGATTCTCTCAGCTCTCTCAATCAGCTCTAGATCAGCTTTATTTCAGGTTTGAATTACCTTCTCCTTAGCGCCTGCGCAATTGCTAAGATTGGCACTCTAGCCACTAAGGGGAAGTGCAGTTTTCGCCCACTAGGGAGGCGAAGGAGCGATCCTCACACCACCTCCCATAGCCAAAAATCCCCCCCCCCTCTCTGCCTTTAATTCGTTGCCGCTTTGTTTGTTGCTCCGTTTCACAGTGGTTTGTTTTTGCTTGCTCCATTCGAGTCGTACCGCGTTTTTCCCCCCCACCTTCGAACGCCGTCCTTTACTTAAAAGGAGAAAGCCTATTCTCTCCTTCCCTAGCCACCTCTGTAGGTAGAGCTTCGGCTTCGATTTGCCAGGTGGGGAAACGCTGCTGAGAGGCGCGACGTTCTAGTGGCCACCATTTTGGAGGTTCCCTCGTGGCGCATGCCATTTTGTTTTCCTCTAAATTGATATTGTGAAAAGTAACAGGCCCCCGCCTGGCTTTTCTTTAACAGTCTATTCCATTTGCTAAATTCTGCTTTGATTCAATTGGAACACTCGTTGGCTCATCCCCACAGCTTACTCCAGCAGCGCGGCAGCTGCACCCAGGCCTTGTGTCTGCCTGTGCAGAGAGGCTGCTGAAGGCCCTAGCCTTAATTTCCACCAGGCCTAGGCGTTTCGAAATTTGGCTAATTGGCTCTCTTCTTTATCCCAGGAACAGGGATACAATTATAGCAACCCATATATCATCTTAAATATATTATTGATTTCATATTTGACAGTATAATATTTTCATACTCACAATATTATCACTGAGGTACGACTCAATTGTTTTCACTTTGGCTACATATTCATCTCTCTACATAGATATATATATATAAAAGAAAGAAAACAAAAAAAATTATACTAAAAGGGGGATGTAAATATTGATCAGGGCAACCGTCCTTGCTGCAGATCGGGTCCTGGGCGTGCCAATCAATCATATTGATCTCTAACCTACTACTTCCAAATCATTGTAATGGCAGATGGTAACACCTCTAGAGGACCTTCTTTGAAGGCAAAAGCCAAAACCCATCACTTGCGCAAGCAGGCTAAGGAGACCTCCAAAGCTGCCCAGAGGGACGCCTTAAGGCGCCACAAGGCCCTGCAAAAAGAAATTGACGGGAGATCTAAAGAAGCACTCAAGGTGCCTCAGGTTCTTCCATCCTCCAGTCCCTCTACCTCTGCTCAACCTCCCCCTCCCCCAGATGTTTCCTTCTCATCCAGGCACAGCTTGCCCTCACAGGAACAACAGGCTCCAGTTCCTGGAACATCGGCCAGAAGGGTTCCAGAAGCCACCTTCACCCCAACAGCTGCTGGCCTCCGTCAAGAGGAGTCTCTCATTGAAGAGGTCCCAGAAAAGATAAGATCTTGGATGGAGTTGGCTATTCGCCAAGGGATCACAGCTGGCATCCAACAAGCTGTCAGGCCCATTCAGTTTCCGGTGGGTTCCAACCAGGAATCTCACTCGATGAGGTCCCTGCCCAGGTCGGAACAATATCTGGCTCAGGTACCCTTGCATAGGGAGTCCCCCCTTCAAGGGCGGGAGGAGGAGGTGGAAGAGGGGGAGGAGGAATGCGACCAGTTCATGGAACCACACGACTTTGATTTGGGGTCTATGCACTACAGCGAGCCCCTATCAGAAGTAGACCCTCTAGACAACGAAATGTCCGAGGACAAGGGGCTCTCCCCTGACCAGCCCGCCTTTGCGGGCCTCTTTAGGCCACAGCTATTCAACGCCACATGGGCCATTTTCTGTAGATGGTGCAGCAAAATTCAAATTAACCCAGCTTCCCCCTCTGTCACCCAGATTTTAGAATTCCTTTAGGAGGGACTTGATAAGGGACTGTCTCCTAATACACTGAAATGACAAGTAGCTGCAGGGTCATCAGTTCTTTCCTGTGAGGGTTTCAGTTCCCTCTCCCATCACACTCGCATAAGGGCTTTTCTCAGAGGGGCCACTAACCTATGCCCTCCAGCAGTGCACCGCTACCCCACTTGGGACCTTAACAGGGTCCTCCTCTCTCTCACCAAAGAACCTTTTGAACCTTTAAGGGAGGCAAGCCTCCAATTTTTGACATATAAGGTAGTTTTCCTTGTAGCCATCACATCCGCTAGGCGCATATCTGAAATAGCAGCCGTCTGTCAGACAGGACCTCTGTGTTTTTCATGCAGATCGGGTGATCCTCCGTCCCGATCCCACATTCTTGCCCAAGGTGAATTCAGCCTTCCATAGAGCCCAAGAGCTCATCCTTCCAAACTTTTGTCCCAGGCCATCTCAGGAAAGGGAAAGGCAATGGCACAAACTTGACGTAAGGCGCACTCTGCGAATCTACATCAAGCGCACGGAACCCTTCAGAAAATCGGAGGCCTTATTCCTCTTTTCAACCCAAAACACAGGGTCATAGGGTATCACCATCCACTGTAGGCCATTGGATTAGGGCGGCCATAGCTAAGTCTTATCAGTCCCAGGCCCTGCAGTTGCCCAGAGGCATAACTGCGCACTCAACTAGGAGTGTGGCAACGTCGGCAGCTTGGGCCACCCAGGCACCAATAATCGAGATTTGCAGGGCGGCGACTTGGGCCTCCCCATCTCCTTTCATCAGGCACTATAAAATTGACGAGTTTGCATCTGCAGAGGCTTCATTTGGCAGATGGGTTCTGCAACGGGTCCTTAGGGACCCTGAGATTCTGGACCAGGCGGAATCCCTCCTGTAGGACAGGCCAAGCTTTGGTATGTCCCAATCCTGGATGCTCAGAGCAGCTCACAGGAGAAAGGGCGCTTACCTGATACACCCATTCTCTTTGAGCTGCGAAGAGCATCCAGCCCCTTTTTTCCCTTCTGGTGGGACCTACTTTCGGCCAAGGAACCCCCTTTAGGTAATAGGGATGAGCACCTTCTTTTCCTCTCGTCTTCGCAAAACTGGGGAACGCTACGGAGGAGTCACGTGGTGGAGGAGCGTTCCTCAATTCAAGCTCAGCCTACAAATGCAGACTGAAGCACCTCCCAATCCTGGATGCTCTTCGCAGCTCAAAGAGAACGGGCTTATCAGGTAAGCACCAAAGCCCTTTTTCTGGGACAAGGATGCCATACAGACTTAGGAAGAGGCAGAGCCAAAGATGTAATGTGAATATACTAATACAGTTCTGAATGGTTGCATATATCCTTAATGCACTGCTAGTTTCAATATGGCTTAATTTTCTACTTGTAAATGGAACACAGTTCATATGGTGAATAGATACGCTGTAATATTACCTAGTATGCTTAAAGGGGCTTGAGTCTGATTTCTCATTAGACTTGCAATGAATCTTACAAAGCATATCAAATTCCAGCCATCAATGCATGATTAGGCCAGACCGCTTCCACAATAATCTCTAATCTTTTAAGTGGTATTTCATAGATGGCATATCCCCAGAAGGGTACAATATAAAGGTTGAGGGGAGAGAATCTACTACTTAAAAAGACCAATGGAATTCAGTCTCAATGCCAATCTAAAAATTGACTGAAGCCAATCTCGCCTTTACCAAATTGGTAAATTGGCACTTTAAATTGAATTTATTTTGGCATACAATACTGAGGTCCAGATTTATCAATAGTGAGACTCCCATGGATTTTGCATCACAAAGGGTGAGGCAGACCACTCCCACTTCAAGTGATTTATGAAGCAATTCATTTTTCAAATTGAGATTTGCAGAACTCTTTCACATTAAAAAAAAGCTCGATAGATATGGCAATATATATTCTATCACTATATGAATGTAGTATGAAATGCTAGATTGTCTGCAATTAATGGCAGTTTTTAGGAACAAAGCTAAAATGGTCTATGCAATTAATGAAAGAAATGAATTTGTGCCAAAGTAACTAAAGCAGCTTTATTTCAATAAAAAAGTTTGTTCTCAACACAGAAGGGTACTTCACCTTTTATAATTTATTCAGCTTATAGGAATACAGTGGCCAATAGGAAGGACTATAAAAATGGCAAGGAAATGCAATCAGACAACTGGGGAGATACTGTAGCCATGCTAAGCATTAAACTATACAGCATCCCTTAAAAGCATTGCAACTTATTTAATTCCCTTGCAAATTCCTGCCTTTTGCTGCAGAACCCCTGCAATCCTAAAAATGTATGAAATGTAGCTGAAGCCATGTGTCTCTTTGTAGAAATACTTGAATCAAAACATTGACACTGGGAGCATGCAGCATTTTGCCTTTAAACTCCAAAAGGTGCTTTGAGGCATATTGCTCCTTAAAGCAGATACAAGCAATCCGGGGAAACAGTATAGCTGTACTAAGATGTTGCATGTTACATGAATTGTTTTTATATTTCTTCCACCAAGTAATACAAAATAATTTTAGTAATCTGGGTTTATTCCTCATATTAAGAGGCTGTGTGTGTGCTACAGTGTGTGTAAGACTAGATCAGACTCAGATTTAAGGTTTCCCTTAGCCATAGAATCTCTGAGTGATTTTGGATCAATCACTTTCTTATTCCATTTAATTTACAAGGTTAATCTAGGGATGGGAGGCACCAATTTCATACTGAATTTCATGAAAAAAGATACAAAGAAAATAAAATGTGGAATAATACTTGAGCCTATGTTTTTTTCTGTAAAAGCAGTGTTTAACTGCTTAAATTCCTTACAATTTTGACAGATAACAGCAAAATTTCTCAGTGAATTCTGTACAAGGGACTAAATCTATTGTGTCTCAATATTTTGTTTTGGAGAATAATACTGCTCTTGCCCAAATTTCAAGATACCTTATCTGACAGAGAACAAGTACTTCATTAAATAATTCCAAACTGTGGCCAAGTTGCCATCTGAATTTATCTTGGGCTTGTCTTTAAATAATTAACTGTGCCTGGATAAGACACAATAGTATCCTGCAGTATGAATTAACAGACCAAATCAATCTATATTACAAAATCAGACAGGCAGCTTCCTTGACCCACCATTTCAAGTCGTTAGGATTGTGCCTAAACCACATAAGTCTTCTGCAGGCAGCTTAATAATAAGTTAATATACCCTTGCACAGCATTTGGATAACACTAAGTATCTGTTTGGAGTTTGCTTTTAACATGCACTTGAAATATTAACAGAAGCAAATAACATTATAACAAAGTTAGAAACACATTTTATTTCACGTGCCCATAAAAAGACACTTTTCAGATCATAGGATGTTGTTACATACAAGAAATTGTGCACTATAGTCTACTGTAGCAGCTTTTACAGATTTTACTAAAAGATCCAGGTCCTTGCTGCATTAACCCTAGAAAAGATTTTCTTCAGCGAACTAAATCCTTTTATTTCTCAATAAAGAAATCCCTTAAAATTACATAAACAATACTTTTCCTAACACGTTCTTTGCCATTCTAATCCATTCTTTCAGGACTGATACTTCTTCGAGGGCTTCCTGATGGCGAACGACTGGAAAAAAAAAAAGAAAAAAAAGGGGGGTGGGGGCAAGGAGAAACCAAGTCACAAGAAGTTAATTTAATAAAAAGTTTGACTAAATTAATGGATTAGTGTTATAATCAGGCCCATTACTACATCTAGGGCAATAATAAATTTAATCCTAATGCTTAAATTATTTGGGTTATTCTTGTGAAAGAACATGTTAGAAATCAAGTGGAAACCATGTAATTTTTAATGTGAACTACCAAAACAGAATTTCCACAATTCATGCACCCCCTTTCCCACAAGAAAGTATTGCCAAGCTTTCAAAGCATTCAAGAAGCAGCATACTTACCGTGAGTTAATGGAGAATGGATATAAATGGCTCATATCAAAACTGAAAAAGCAAGACTAAAGATTAAATCAAGTAAAATGCTTTTAAATACATTTCTAATTTGGATAAAACATCTAGATTTATTTTGCTTGGATAACTGTCCTTCAAAACAGAGATTTGATTATATTCTGCACTATAGCAGACTTACCCGCAAAGTTTATTCAGGGCCAGTTATTAACTCTATACCTTCTCAGTCTGACTATGAGCCATTTAAGTTTATTGTCCATTAAAACAATCAAGATGTGCTCAATGATTTAACATATGTAAGAACTTCCAATTTTGGAATGAGGCTCTGAATACTAATTCACACTAATAAAACTTGCAAAATGTTACTGTTATGTATCTAGAACTTTTTTTTTTAGATCAGGGGTATCAAACGTGGGCCATGCCCAGCGCGGCCCTGCTAAGGCAAAAACAATTCTGATACATCATGTTATACAGCCCACAATGCGATCGGGTTTGACACCCCTGAGTTAGATGAAGAACCTCACAATACAATATTCTGTATTCTCCACAGATCTATGCAGAGACCATTATAAATTACTTTTTCTTAGTTAACTAACAATATAAATAATTCAACCTATAGACTCAACTTACCTTCTCTTTAAAGATGGTGATCGTGATTTAGAGCGGCTGTTGAAATATCAATTAATCTTGATTAACATTTAACATACTAATTTACTTTACAGTCATGAGCCCTATTTTACAAAACGCAGGTTTGATCCGACTGTAAATATTTTGCAATGGTTTCTATATCAAACATTTGGAACAAAAATGACACTCCACAAGTACAAAGTTCATAATACAGTTGTCTTCATATTATAAATTGTGTGCATGTGCACATATACAAAGACAGGCAATTTTTTTTTTCAAATACAGCAAAATAAATGAAGAATTTGTTATTTTCAATTAAGCTAAACTGTCTAGCAGTGGTTCAGGGTTAGCTACCCAAAACAAATTTCGCATTTAATTGTTGCTGTGAATGTCCACAAATGGAAATTTACCTGCTTCTGGGCCGTGAAATGGACCTCGACCTGGACCTGGATCTTGATCGAGACCTGGATTAAAAAAAAAAAAAGAAATTCAATATTACAGTGTTCCAGTTCCTGAATATTCATATAGGTAGAAAATGTGATTATTCAGATTACTACTTGGGTAAATAGAAATATGTCATTAAAGCAAGATTCTACAGAGGCAGCTATAATATACAGGCAACTATTTTCCAGGAGCTCTTTTAGTTTAAAACAGCAAGAAACTGCAAATTTTAAGACTCCAAATCTATAGAACTCTCTATATGGTGTGTGTGTTCCCCCCCCCCCCGCCCCCCCAAGTAATTTGGCAACAAAAGTATTTAATTCTACTCACTCTGTCACAACAGATCTAGTTGCTGTGATGATCCGGGACGTAGCACAAAGGTAACCCAGTCAGATAAGCAATAAGAGTCCCTTTATTATCTCCAACTTTGCCCCCAATGTCCAGGTTACCTTCAGGCTGGAGAAAAACTCCTCCACTAACAGCCTGACTAGAAAATTCAGTCCAAAACAAGGTACACACAAACTAACTTAAAGTCCAAACAAACCAAACTGAAGTAATTAGTTTGGCAGGGCAGGAGCAGGAATTTCAAACTTGAAAGTATGGCAAAACTCAATTGGGAAGATGCCATGAACACAGATAAGCCACGACAACACAGGAAAAAGTAATGTTTGCTCCCAACAGCTTGCTGCACGCAGCTTGCACTGTTCCCAGCTGCAGCTAATGAAGGGAATCAGGGTCCTTTGCTCCCCCATAAGCCATGCAATCCATGTTGCTCTCTTCTGTTCCTCCCTAGGATGAAGAGGGGGTGGGGCTAGGTCTTCCTCTGAATTCACTCTCCCTTGGACTTTGCCCTTCCCCACTTTTTTCCACAGCAACATAGCCACACTCCCACTCCCTGCCAACCATCTGGCTTCCTTCTCGGAATCTGATTCTGACAGGGGCATGACAGTTGCAAGGCTTCATATGGCTTGTTTTGTTGACAGTGACAGGTTCACTAATGATGCTCCATTTTTATGCTCCATTATCTTTCACTGTATCAGTGAAGAGCTTCTCACACCACTGGATGCTAGTGCTCCCTGCACCTAGTGATGATGGGTAATCTCTCAATGTGGCAATGGATGCTACTGATTTCCAGAGTATCTGGCAATTCCATTCTCATTATAAGCAATCTGATGAATAGTATAGTTCAGTACACTAAGAGCATTCAAAGCAGGAAAGCCAGCATGAACTATATAAAGTGAGCATTCTTAATCACCAAATTACTCCAAAAGCAAGCCACCACTTGGCTGAGCCAGAGATTCATCCTAACATTGCATAAATGACTTAATCCTTAACAAATGAATTTTGCACAAGATGCAAAAAGATCATCCACTAGCGGTAGAATCCTCAACCTATGACCACAATTGAGCCCAAACTTTCTGATCACATGACCCCAGGACACTGGATCATAAATGAGTCAGTTACCAAGCATCTCAATTTTGATCATGTGACCATGAGAGTGCTACAATGGCCATTAAGTGTGAAAGAGAATCATAATTCCCTTTTTTTCCCAGTGATATTGTAACTTCAAACAACCATTAAATGAATGGTTGTAAGTTGAGTACTCCCTGTACTATACATATTCACAATACTGACAGCTATTAACCTGATTTGCACGCATAGAAACATTTCAGAATTGAAAAACTTAAGAACTATTTTACAATCATATTAGCCAAATTACCTTGATCTCTTTAAAGAACCTGAACGGGATCTACGTGGCGATATAGATCTGGATCTACGAGGAGACAGAGATCTAGATCTGCGAGCTGAGATAGATCTGGATCTAAATGGAAATAAGACTTGGTTATACTATTCTTTGACTACTAAAGCTAGACTGTTCCACATATGTAAATGCTTACCTCCTGCCACGACTTCGGCTGCGTGAGCGAGAGTATCTTCTTCCTCTGGACCTTGAATGAGACCGAGATCGTGACCTAATTTTAGTTAGAGGAAAAAAATTAGATTATACATTCAACAATTAGCATGTGAGCCCTCGCTGAAGCCAAAACATCAGCTATCTAAAAATTAGTGTCCGTCAGTTGAAAAATTTAGGGCCTATTTGTCTTGAGTATTTTTACTACCTAATAAAGATGTTAAAATGTATAACATTTAGAATTACATAATAATATAAAACACTGTAATGTGTATTTAAAATAAACCTTGCAAGTTTGCAGGTCGACCCTCTTTGGCCCAAGGTCTAGCAGATCTAGACGATCTAGAAGTATCTATAGCCGATCGCTGCATCTAGGTGTTTTCTTCAATCTAACGACGATCAAACTGACAGCCAAATGAGCCAGGTGAGGCTTGATTGACGCAAGAAGATTTTTCTAGGTGGGAATGTGGTCAATCTGGTGTTCCTCTTTTTAAACCGGAGGGGGGCCCAATTGAAAGCCAAATTTACTGTTACGGCGGTCACCGTCTCAATTTTTCTGCCCTTTAAGAATAAGGTGAAGCTAGGTGTAGATGGCTCGAGGGGATCTGGCCTCTTATGCTGATCACCTCAAGGTCTAGGAGGATCTTAATTGTCGGATTTGCAAGGCGCCTCAGCATGAAATCATAAGGCTCGTGACATTCTGAATCAAGGCGACTGACTCAAACGAAGAAACCTGAAAGGTTTTGACCAGGTTGATTATTAACATATTAACATTTTAATACAAAATATAAACAAATGTAACATACCAATATTAATTAAAACATTTTAAAAAATTGTGATTTTATTTTAACCAAAACTACATACAATTTAAAAACAAATTACTCGTATCTTACGTACCTGCTTCTCCGACGACGACTATAGCGATGACAATCATAAGCATAATGACCTTTCTCGCCACATTCATAACATCTATCATTAGGATCAAATGGTCGTCGTGCTGGAGGTCTATCATAGCGAGACCTACGAGGCATACCAGTTGATAACTCCACTCTAACCCTGGAACCACAGATCACCCTAACAACAGCAAAACATTTCAGTCAACATACTAATCCCACTACAAAAATGGAAGTTATTTCACAAATAAAATTTGAATTCCTACGTACTTTCCATCTAGACCACGAACAGCATCTTCAGCATCCCTTGGGTCTTCAAATTCAACAAATGCAAATCCGGGAGGGTTTCGTGCAATCCACACGGTACGTAAGGGTCCATAGTAGCTAAAAGCCCTTTCAAGTTCTCCTTTACCAGCACCTGTTCCTAAGTTGCCAACGTATACTTTTGTTTCTGCAAAAATAGAAAACAGTAATTCCCCAAACTTTTAAGTCATCTTTAGGTTATAGTTCCAGGAGAACAAACATGCTGAATGGTTCCACTATAGTCGAGGACCCTTCTTTTACAATACAAGAAGGCTTCCAGATGAATTTAACCATGTTATCTGCTTCCTGTAAAGTGTTTCCTAGCACACTGGACACAGTAGAGTGGTGGTTTATTTTTTAGCTTTTGTGATCACCGCTGTGCTATCACCGCAGTCTATTTTACAGCAGTTTATTCGCCGTGCATTTGGCTTTATTTCCACCAAAAAGCAGAAGTAGCTGTCCTCCACTCACACACGGCGCTCCAGCCAACTACTCCACCCACTGAGGCCCGGGAAGCCGCTGAATCACAAGGCCAAGAGGGCGTAGCGGCACTCATGCTCCATCGCGCGCGTGCGCACTAGGCCACCACCGCTTCCTGGCGGCGGACACACACGCGGCTACTCCGTTGCAAGTTCGCCTGATGCCGCCGTTTCCCCCACCGTCTTCCTGCCCCGCCGATCACGGGCGCCGCCATCTTTAGCACCGCCTCCATTTTACCCGTACACCGATAGTAGCATTAGCAAAATAAAAAGAGAAAAAAAAATCAATGAAAAATCATCAAGTGCCTGCCTGCCTGCCTGCCTGCACTAAAATGTTCCTCAAGCAAACCAGCAGCGTATTTACGCCGTTAGGCTTAACAATTCCAACTCGAAGGAAGTTCGCCTCGGTACATCCAGAGAGTATAACATGTGCAAAATGGCGCCGGGTCATTTCCTAACGGGCCTTAACTTGATTATCGACACAGCTTGGTGTCGTCAAAAAAGTGAAGCTACCCCGCCTGATACGGAGAATAGATACAGACCTTCCTCGTACCGCGCTTGAACCCGCATAACATACCTCCGGCATAACGGCTGTAACGCGACATCCTTCCACCATCGGAAAAGAAAAAAACACAACTGTCGCCAAGCGCATGCGGGTTGCAGTCCTTAAATAGATTGCGCCGTTATTGCGCACGCGCACTATAATTGTGAGACCATCGCGGACTGGCAAGGCGGGAAAGAGAGTTTGTGTTGCCATAGTAACGTTAGGCTGAAAAAAGGGAGGAGGAGAAGATGGGAAATAGGACGTGACGCTATTTTAAGCGACGTTAGGGCCTCACAAAGAGTCGTGTTTAAAATATCGCCTGTTTTAATGTTAAAAGCGTTTGAGATGTACGGCTGCTATTTTTCAGTACTTAATACGTATTTTAAAAATCGTTTGAGGATCATTCGGGATTCTAGCAGACTGTAGAGCGCTAGAAAAAGCAAACAATGATTTTTTTCCCAAATTCTCTAACATTTATCAAAACCCTTACCTATGTTTAATTATTTGTTATCAGTGCCTCAAAAACAACACAACCCCGCACATAGTACCTGGAAGGGCGATCGCTAAACACTCTAAAACTGCGGACCAAACCCGGAAGAATTGAAGAAGAAAGCCAACCAAAGCTACTTCCTGCTCTTGTCAAAACGATATCCATGAAGCCGCCAAAACTCGAGATCCAGCGACGGGAAACGTAATTTCTACCTTTAAAAGTAATTATCCTTTCGAAGCAGCTTACACAACTCACATTCATCCAAAACAAGATAGCCAATTTATAATGAGGTCCAGAAGATAAACCTTTTAAAAGCTGGATCCTAAAAATCCGGGGCAGAAAAAGAAGGAATCAAAAAGGTAACCATGGAAACGGAAAGGCTTCTTAGTTAAATTCCTAATTGTGTTCTAAAACAGATGAAACGTGAAGTCCGCCGTGAACCAGTTTTTCAAAACGTTTATTTATTTATTTTAACCATAGAGCGAGTCTACGATTCTAAATCTGCTAAAGGGATTCTTCCCGTCAGTTCCGTCCTTTTTGAAAGACTCCTCGGAAAGATCCGGCTACGGAAGAAGAATAAAGAGGCCCCCTGAACGCAGTGCCTTCTGGGTCCCAGAAAGGACGGCTGGGCTGGAGCGAGGTGGCTTCGCGCTGTCTTTAAAGGCGTTTCTGATTGAGTGGTGGCTGCCGAAGCTGAATATCCGGATTGTAATTTATTTTCGAGGATGTATATGAGTGCTGCCTCTACTTAAATGACAAGAATAACTGCAATCTTGCAGTCCAGCTTTCTTTTTTTTTTAATCAACGCGCTGTATTTTTATGGAGTTGACTATGCCGTAAGAACCGCGAGGGATTATTAAACGGTGCGTTCGTAAACTGCAGGTTTTTCCGAACCTGAAATTAATGTATGTTTTGGGGTTCATTCTTTTAGGAACATTGCTGAGTTCAGTACTAACGGACAATAGCCTAGCGGAAAGATTATTCGGTGGAATGATATTGCAACCATATCTTCGATACGGAAGAGCGATTAGCAAAAAGATTTCGATAATACGGATTGCTAAAATCATAATTATTATGACTTTATTATAGTATACGTGTTGTCACCGGGGTAGGGTGGGTAGGGGTTACTATTTTGGTTTTTATTTCTTTTATATGTTTTTAATATACTTGTAAGCTGCCTGGAGTCGCCATTTGAGAGTAGGCGGCTATATATATTTTCTAAATAAGGTTATGCCCGACTTTCCTTGGAGCAAAGTATGTGCAGCATTCTGGACATATTTTCCAAAAAGAAATATGTGAGGTGAATTGCTGATAAATAGCGACTGACCAACATTAACTGTGAATCTTGATCACTATACCTTCGGTGTAAAAGCTGTATGTTAAAACATAACCTAATGTCAAGAATATTGAAATTATATTTATTAATATTATGAAATTAGAGGCCATGTGCTGCTGTTTATAACTTAATAAGAGTTTTAAATGTTCACACTCCAGTTGCTTTAATTTAGGGTAAAAAGCCAACTTCAGTTGATATTAATATTCCTCCTTCAGCTTCTGAGGTTTATCAGGCCCATCTTGTTGCTGTTCCTGTGATCAAGAGTGAAAAAGTGCTATCAAATTAGTTTATAAATTAGTTTAATTTGAGATAGCAGGTTGAATGAAGGTTACAATCCAATACACGTTTGCCTGGGAATAAGTTAAGGTGAACTCTCACCCCACTTATAGATATGTATTGGTTGTACTTTTACCTTCTTATAATAATGTGCTTATATTTCTGATTAATGAAAAATAAGTAGGCAAAATAAGTATTTTTGCGATCAAAACTTGGGGTTAGCAGCTAAAGGCATCTGTCAAGAAATAAAAGCCTTACTCTATCAAAAAAGAACCCTTTTGGAAGGAGAAAAATGGATTCATTAATAAGGAATGTAAAAGAAAAAGAAAAATTGAGCTTATGTCAAAAAATTATACATATGCCAATATGGTGATGGTGTTGGGCTACAAATAAGGAAGCCCTGTTTTGCTCCACTCTTGGGTAAATTTTTGAAGTGCTGGTCTACCAAGACCTATTAAATCTTGAGATTCAATGTTACAACTGGACTTCAGCATTCCAACTATCAATGTCAGGGGAACGATAGCCAGAGATGGATATAACCGCTGTTTGTGAGCATTTCATAGACAGTTATTAGCCACTCTGATAAACAATCCTGGATTAATATGAATCTTGACTAGATTCAACAGGGCCATTTTATTCTTAGTCATGGAAATAGGCAAGTTTTCCTAATACAGAGGCAGAGGATATTGCTAGCAATGATGTTTTCTTTTCTCATTAGGTTCAGTAAAAAGAAAATATGACTGAATGGCAGAGGAAAACTCCTTTGGAATGGCAGGCTTTTGTGGATAAAGAAGTCAAAGTACTGGCTGCTGAGAAACACCAATACAAAGGATGGGTTTTAACAGTTGACCCAGTTTCTGCCAAGTATGTAGTGAATTCTATAAAGATTTTTTTTTTTTGAGAAATGTGTGCTAAGGGAAAATGAAGCGGATGAATGATTATATTGTATAAAATGAAAAGCAAATTAAACTGGGAGATTGTACGCCTAAACAAATACAAATGAATTCTTAATAAAAATATTAAATGTTTCTCTGGATAGTCATTTGAAAATATGTAGGTAATTTCAGGAAAAGTGCATGTGCATGCACAGAGAGGGAGGGAGAGAGAGAAAGAAAGAAAGAAATCAGTCCCCCAAAACTGCAAAGTAGCTGAGTCAAGGACCCTCCTGTTAACTGGCAATTGTGTGCATGCACTGAAGGACATCCTTTGGGATAGCTGATGAAGTAATCACTTCATGGCACACATAATGAAAATGACTTGAAACAACTTCATGATGACTTTAAGGACCAAAGCTGGGGGATATTTTGCTCATGATCAAAATGCTTCATCAAGTGATTTGCACAATATTAGCATTTGGTATAAGAATATTTAGAGTATATGTAAAATGTGTGGTAATCGACTTTACATCTTAGGATGATGTCAATTGAAAATGTAAGTCTGATGAAAAATAATTCCACCCAAATGCAACATGCATTATGTATATGATGTGACTGAAATATTTTATAAGTCTAACTGGAGAGTCCTCACTTATTCCGGCTTTTGATCTTGATCTAGTTATTACAAACTTCAGGGATTGCTAATGCAAACTGAAGCCCCAGGTTTATTGGGTAACTTGTGGGACAGCTTGTAATGCCATACAATTTCAGTGTTTTTTTTTTCATTGGGAAAGCAGCTGTTTCATTCTGATTTAAACTTTTTTGATACAACATCAGTATCAAGAGACTGATAGAAAGGCCTAGCATGCATGAAAAAGCCAACTAGCAATGTGATCATTTAACATAGCCTCATATGAACCTTTTACTTTTGACAGCATTCTTCTGGCAAATCCCCTTGAGAATGGAAGAGTGTCTGTTGTAGTTGTTTTAGGACATGCTGTGCAGAATATTGAAATAGTGACTGAAAAAGATGATGAAATCAAGGAAAAACTTGCACATCTCTTTATGGCTGGAAAAAGTCAAACTTATAATCAAGAAGAGCTGGACAGAAAGAAAAACTCCTTGAAGAGTTGGCTGGAGAAAAACCACATCCCTGTAAAAGAACAGGGAGAATCACAACCAACGCTGTGTGTGGCAGGTGTATTAACCATTGATCCCCCATATGGACCAGAAAATTGCAATAGCTCTAATGAAATAATTTTGTGTAGAGTTCAAGGATTGATTCAAAACTACCTTGCGCTTCAGCAGTGAGGCATATAGATTTCATTACACTTAAAACACTTTGCTTAATGGTTAATGCTCAGCCATTGTTTCCAAATGTTGTTTTGTATTGTATACAAATAGCAATTGTAGTTGTGATAATTATATTTTATATAAAAATAACTTTTTTTCTCACCAAATTCCTGCAAAGTTGATTTGTTTATATAAAATAAAGTTAAAAATAAGTCATTCTTATTCTTTCCAGTCTCTTAATTTGAAACCAAAATATTAACATTTCTGAAGAACATGGGACAGTAGTATAAGCAATATTTTGGACAGTTCCTCCTATGAATATGCAGCCTGTTTCCCAATTGAAAGTACCATATAGTAAATTTTAGAAGTCCATTTTCTGTACATACCCAAGTCCTTTTAAAATATTGAAAATGGGCATTTTTCTATGTAAGACTTTTTCAGATGCAATATAGTTAATATTTTCCTTGACTTTATTATCTACTACCACAAAACCACTTATGTGCACATGTATGTTCCTTTGAATGGTCAGACCATTGATAGAAATCTAAAACATGTTTTGGTCACATCTGTTGGGATTTGTAGTTCAGCATGGCTGCAGGGCATCATGTTGAAAAAGGCTGAGTAGACAATTGTCTTTCCAAATGTGGCATTTGGGAATGATTGTATATGTGAAGACCCAATGCTCACTATCTACAAAGTCCTTGATCATTCATGAAACTTACTGGTCACATTTTCAAATAATTGTCACCTATTGAAATGACACTAACTGAAGCCATAAAAGTTTCTTGTTTTGTTTCTCAGTTGCCATGCTTAGTGGGGAGGGAGCTTTGTGGAATGTAGAATGTTTCCTTTCAGAGTGCCAGACATAACACTGATGAAGCGCCTAAGAACTGAAGCTGACCCAGCGTATCCAGGCAGGAGGGGAGTACTAAGAGGCTCATCACCTGCTTGGTTGGCTAACACGATCTGGGACACAAGGGGGTGGCCAGTATCTATCTTTTAATAATGCCAAAGCATAGGAACCATTCAGAGTTGGCTTGACTTTGAACGTGCCCATATGATGTACCCAATAAACAAGATATTTGAAAAAGCAAGAGCCTCTGAGTCTTGAACTAATCGGTAGCATAACTTGGAACCATGACAATAATAAGTAGTTGAGGTGAAATACTGTAAAAATATAAATTCAGTATTAATAGGCGTCCTAAATATTTATTTTTAAACTCTGAGAAATTCATAAGGAACTTTATTGACGTATTTCCAAAATGTTGTTTGACTGAAATTCATAAGATTTTTCTTATTCTGATAGAAGTCTGCAAAAACTTTGGGCTTTGTTAATAAGGTGCCAGATGAAATTCGCAAGTCAATCAGTTGATTATAAATTAAGTTTTCTTATGCTTAAATTTGTCAATCACTTTTCTGTCCTGGATAGAATCAAGCTCAAAAAAATCAGGAGGTAGCTGTTTCCCAATATAAAATGTATACTTTCATCATCATTTTTGCAAAACTTCCCTCCCTCTTACCATATTCACAAATCAAACCACAATGCTTTGAGCAATTTCAAACAGACTATAGTTTTCTTAAAAGGAATGACAGCTATTAGTTTTGAGAATGCCTTTATTTATTACAATATTTATATAAAGTATATAGCCTACATCAGGCTCCAAAACTTTATTATTTGAGAATAATGAGTAATACAGCTTAGGGCAATTTTATGCTAAAATTATTCCATAATTTGTATTGCTATATTTGAATTCTAGCAGCCAACACTGATTATTTGACTAAATGAAAAGAGATGTACATTTACTGAAATTGGACAGGAATCATTTTTGGATGCAGAGCAATGTAGAAACCATGATTATGGTATGTTTCATGCACTGCCTTTTTGGAAGGGGAAGGACAAATTAACATCCTGCCAGATTATCATAGACTATTGGACACAAAAAGGGGATGGTGAATCATTAAACATCAAATGTATGTGTGATCTGTTCATGAATTATTTTCTGAATGCTTACCTCTTATTCAAAAGGGGAAAAAAACCTTAAGTTTTATTTTAAATATTCAAGCTCCTTATGTAAACCTGTATCCGTTTCTATTGTAATTATAAACTTGTTTATTTTGAGCTACAGTACTTAAAAAGGCTTTTAAATTGGATATTTAGGCTTCCAAATAACTATACAAGAGCCAGTGCTACATTTTATTATTCTGTCATTAAAATTAGAAGACAGCCATCCTCAGTAGCTAATGCTATTGTGTGGTCACAAGTTTTACAATCAAGTTGATAATCCGAGATCCTCGAGGGCAAGTGCACAGATCCATGCTGGGGTTTTTAATTTTTTCCTGGAGTAACTGGTCAAGTTCATTGCGAAGTTCTTTCACTAGTTCAGCAACCTGAAATCACAAATATGCACTTAAAATAAACTTCTTCTGGATAAGGTTTCTAATAACAGCCACTCAAAGCACTCCATAAACGCAGTGTGAAGGACATAGCCATTCTTTTATGCTGCCTCTGACTCTGGAAGGTCTATTCACTATTTCCTCTTTCTGAATAGCTACACCATACATTGCATCAGCAAATATTCAGTTTTTTTGTGTGGCAGGGGGATAATGATTCAAGAAAGACACCTTGTTTGATTCTTAGTGTGCTTGTAACTAGATCTTTGAACAAGTCCCACTGAATAGAGTATTACGTGAAACTATGATAATTACATTGTCCTTACATGTATCCCAATGTTCCAAATTAGGATAGAAAGAGAATGAAATGCAAAACACAGACATGGAAGGCTATATATATCAAGCTCTCGGTGCTTAAGTTTTCTATATATTAACTTGGAATTTTTATGCTCTGCACAGAAATGTTAAACACACTTATTCAGTCTTGAGTATTTTTCTTTATGTGGTTTACAGGGTTAGTTTATCTACCTGCACAAGTTATTGCATCATACAATCAAAATACCACAAGAAATTAATTTTTCAGAAGGTGAAAGGTTGTTTTTCACACCTGCAACATGTTTTCCTTCTATCTTTCAATGGGAGGAAAGTATGTCACTTGGGAAATGGCTGACCCTACAGAGTTCTTTTTGCCACAGCAGAAATGAGGTGGCAAAGCTGTTCCCCTCATATGAAATAAATGACAGCAGTTCTGGGAGCGGGCAGGAAAAAAGTGGAAAGAGATTCTACCTGCCACTCTTCTGGCCTCTCACTGAAGATCACCTACGCCTATGCGGAAATATCTGGAATGTGTGAAGCAATAATAGCTGCATGGTTGAAGGAGGCAGTCATACTGGCTATCTACAGCAGCAGTGGCTGCTGCTGCTGCTGCCGCTGCTGCTGCTAACACAGGCAGGAAGGGCAGCTGCAGTAGGCTGGAGGGAAGGGTAGGGATTATCATAATAGGAGCAGAGGTTACCAAGAGGAATCCATTCCTCAATGTCATTCGTCCTATGAGACCCCCTCCTCCTGCCCAAATGTCTCTGGATGCAGGGCAAAACTTGGTTTTCTCTGGCAGCCAAACCACAAATGCCCAGAATCCACAACCAAATGTGAGAGGGTAATTCTGTAGCAGGCAAATAATGACCTTTCTCGGGCCTCTCTTTCATGTGACACTTCAAAAACATACCTCTATACTGGCCTACTTTTATCCAGCCTAAGCCTATCTGAAAGACGCTGGCCATAAGATGATAATTCTATCAGGAGGATAGGCATATATTATCATGATAGGCATACTTCATTGATACAATTTATCTTACTGTATAAGGTTGCAACTTCATGAGACATATACACAGTACCATATTGGTCTGTATTATACCAGTGAACTGCGAAACAATGGTTTTCAAGCAATGAAGGCATCTATATTCACGAAGGAGGCGCTGTCCTTAAATCACCCATCCCATAGAGTTTGATTTGAGGCCATAAAGCCATAAGAAGGAAAGTGGTCCTTTTCAATTTAGGAAATTTAAAAAAATTAGATAAAATGCTGCTCATTGTATTAAGTGCCTTCTAGAACAGATACATTTTTCCATTTCAGCCTCAGTGACCAAAGTGTCCAGAAGGGGGTTTTCTTTAAGGAACAGAACCTGTTCTCTATTTTGATATAGAAAGTTGTACAAGACAACATCATCCAATACTGCAAATGAAAGTACGTATGATCCTTGACTTACAACCATACATTTAGTGACTGTTCTAAGGTTCCGGAGAGCTGAAATTTTTTTTTAACTTATGAGCAGTTCTCACATTTATTACGGATGCATCCTCTCCATGGTCACATTATCAAAATTCAGGTGTTTGCCAACTGGCATGTATTTCTCACAGTTGCACTGTCCAGGGGTCATGTGATTACCATCTGTAATCTTCCCAGCCAGCCTGATAAGCAAAATCAATAGGATAAGCCAGATTGGCTTAATGACTGCATGATTCACTTAACAACTGCAGTGATTTGTTTAGCAACTGTGGCAAAAAATATTGTAAAATGGGACAAAACTCACTCAAGAACTCTCCTGCCTAGCAATGGAAAAATTGGGTTCAACTACGATTGTGAGTCATGGACTAGCTAATTTTATTATGAGAACTATTTATATCAACCATTTTTAAGATGTTGTCCTTTAAGTGTATAGGGGTTACAACATTTATAATCCAAGAGATTTGGAGAACAGCTTGAAAAAACAATGGATCTGCTGTGTTGCTTAATTCATTACCTGACGTGAAGCTGCAACAAAGTTAATCCACCCATCATCCAAGGAAACAACATATGCCCCATTCTGGAGCTGCATGTTCACACGGCCTCCCCCAAACAAGATCAGTGGATATACTGACACCATGCTGCAGTCTCGAATAAAAATCCGGCTGGTTTTTACCATTTCATGGTATACCAAGTAGGGGCTATCAAACTGCTTTACCTGAAATACAGAATTCCAAAGAATAATTATGGAACATTTAAAACAAGAACAACAACTTTGGTTATATAAATATCATCTGTATCATACTATACACCTGCCACCTAGATTTTGCTAACAAAAATGGGTACTCTGCCAGCATAAAATGGCCAGACCTGAAGAGGACATGGAGATGATATTCAAAACCTCTAAGCAGGCTTCATATGAATCTAGTAAGCTGGAGGAGAAAGGAGAGAAAGACATATCCTTGTATTGGTGTCTATAGAAATATTCAATGTTTCAACAAGGCTTATAGTATATAAGCAGGCAACTATTGTCTAATGTGCATGCTATTCCTTCCATAAAGAAGACTATATATGCTAGAATAAGTTGGAGTAGAATACTTTACTGACTGGAGGTTAGAAATTACCTGATAATTTACAGAGGATGGATGAATGTGAACGTAACCCTGGCTTTTTGTAGCAAACATCAGTGTTTCAGGTTTTGGATTAATTTTAGCAGCTCCTTTAATAATCTTCAGACACTTCTTTTCTGGTACTTTTATCTAAAATGGTAAATAAAAATTGTGAATTGAATATCCACAAACAATCCCCATTTATTTCAACAGATATGCCTAGAAAGAGACATTTCTACTAAACTGCTTCCCTCTAACAAATCAACATGGTGATATTGTGGAATTTAAAAGAAAAGAAAGAATGGGGGGGGGGGGAAGAACCCAGAGAGACTACCTCATTCCTCAAATCTATTCCAAACTTGGTAGTAGCACATATTACAAAGCCATAGCCCAGATGTTTTTGTTTGACAAGATAACTGGAGCGCCATGTTTGTGAACATGATCAATGTATGTGAAATCAGTGCAAATCCAACCCAACCCTGAAGTCATTAGCTGGTGTTTGGAAAGCACATTGTTTTAAGCACCAGCTTTCATTTCTAACACTATGTATTTCCTGGCAGGTTACCATTTTTCCCTTCTCCCCAAGAAATCCTTATTGTGTCAGTAACCACTTCTCTTGTTGCTACAGTACTTTTCTCTGAGCCTCAGCCAAGTCCTCTAAACCCAAACCTGCCTAGAACCAAGCAGCTATAAACACAGACTGGTTTTGCAAAACAACTACTGTTAAGTCATTCACCAACTAACTAATGTCCCCATCTCAAGCCAGTGCAATAAAACTCCACGAAACTTTACAATGCTAGTTTCTGCAAATATGTTTTAAGTCCTAGTGTAGGACTTTGGGATAGGGTGAGGAAAAATAGCCCTGCTGTGTATTAAAAGCAGAGTTAAGCTATCAGTAATACTATGCCTACAGTGGAGGATTGGAGCACTAGGTTCCAGGCAGAAAGAAAATGGTGGGTTTTTTTGTTTTTGATTTGTTTATTCAAAATTTCAAAAAAGATTTAAAAAGAGAAACATGTTTTCACATTTTGCAGCATTATCATAACAGTGTATATATATCTATTAGTGTCAATTACATTCATTTACTACAAATATATCTATAATTTGCAGAAAGGAAATGGTTTTAATGCTTAAGGAAGTTCTTGTATAAATTCCCCCCTTAAAATGTCCTGGTATTGCAATCAATTCTTTTTCACAGACCAGAGTCAGGAAATAGATATTAATACAAGCAGATGATGATTACTTTTATATGCTTACCTGAACCACATTTGGATACATAGCGGCACATAATATGGCTGATATCAACTTGACATTCTCTGCATTTGCATTTGCCTGTGACATAGATGACAAGTTAAAGAGTATGAAGACTATCCCTTATGCAGGCATTGGCAAAGAACTATGTAGCATGCAGCAGCAACTGGGAAGAAATCCTGAATATTTTCGGTGTCAGGTTTCTTTTAAAAGAGATTTCTCAATCTTATGTTTGAGAAATATGTTTGAAAATAAGGTAATGCATACTGGTATCATCAGAAGTTTTAGGATGGAGGGGAAATATTTGGGCCTCTATCTTCTGCCTGAAATACATATGACAGCCTTATGCCAAATCAGACCACAAGCCAATGAAATCTTGTGTGACCCGCAGTAGGTTTTTAAAAGTTTTCTATTGCTTCTTTCTTTTCTATTGGAGGTAGCGCTGACTGAAGTTGTGACTTTCTGAACACAAAGTCCCAGGTATAATCTGCTGTTGCTATACACATTCCTGAGAAATAAGTTATTATAAATGCTATTTCCATTTTAGCACTTTTAAAACACACACATGAAAAACCCCAGGAACAAATAATTAACATTTCTAATTTTAAATTTAAATTCTAATTTTAAAAATATCCCAGTGGAAGGATAAAAAAAATTATCTCCAGTCCCTTGAAATACATCAACAGATCTTCATAGAAACTACTTTTAAGTGAGCTGTTTTCCTATTAGATACATCTTGGAATGAGTTATCTACAAATGAATTCAACATTATAATTTTTGTTTCTGAATTTTCTGTGTTTTTTATGCTGCCCAAAAACACATGTCAGCACCTACTTTAATAAAGTTAGAATTACAATAAAGTTACAATTACAATGAAATTATTATTTATATTAATACATCACTAATATTTAACTATATAATATATATAAATCATAGGTTTTGTTTTCAAATAACTCTGCTTCATCAACCTACCAGCTGGACTAAACAGACAAACAGTTCACACCTGACTAAGATAATTTTCCAGTACGTAAGAAAGTCAAAAATGACTTTTCATAACACTGAAAGCAACTTGAAAAGCATCTTCAGTCTACTAGATCTTAACAAGAAAGGAAGTATTCCAGAAATAATCACTATTAGTATTATAATATGGGAATTAGGTAAAATGTAACCATCTTTACTTAAGAATGTCGCTGAGGAAGAAAGGAAACATGGAAGAGGTGGGTAGAAAAGTTAACAGATTAAAAAAACTTGCCAGCCAGTTACCTCTTCTCCTGTAGCTTCAAGAACACCATCCCCCCTTTGAGAAAATCTCTGTTCTATGTCTCTGGCTCGGAGTCCTTCTTTCACAAATCCAATATCAGACAATAGTTCAGTAAACTGCCTTTTTAAACGTGCCATTTCCTAAAAAAAATGGGAAAGACTTCTTTTAATAATGAATAGAATTTGAAAACAGAATTCTAAAGAGCGACTAGTAGTTTATTAATGTTACTCTTTTATTCCCATTTGGCATATACCAATATATGAACTGGTGATATACAGCAGTAGATCAGCCCCAGAAGACTGATAGAATAGGTCTGGCCTGCTCATGCCTTCGTTTTGCTCACTCTGACCATAATAAAGCTGATATTGAAAGAGAATATTGTGGTTGGAAGATATGGAGAAAATATATCTATCTGGTATAAAAATAACTATATAGTCAATATAGTTATTGGGTTCTTAGTATGTTAATTCCCAACTATAACCATATGTGGTTAAGGGTGGTGATTTCTGAATTATTTCTGGTAAATCTTAATGATCTTCAACTGTTTCCTCAATGTGAAGATCAATAACAGCAACCAAAATGTATTACTTGTATTACAGGTAGTCCTTATCACTGATTGCTTAGCGACCATTTGAAGTTATGATAGACCTACCTTGGGGTTACTACTTAAGACCTGGACTTCAAGTTTGATGGTCAGCTCTCCCATGTGGTCCCCCATGTGGCTGAACTTCAGGCACTTGGCAACACAGCTGCATTTATTACTATTTGCAGCATTCTGTGTCACATGATTGCATTTTAGGGCAGTTTTGGCAAAAACTAGCAAATACTTCTGGTTTTTGGCAAAACTGCACATGTAGTGAACCAGTGGTTCACTAAATGACTGTGGAGTTTGCTGAATGACTGCGGATTTGCTTAACTTGTGTGGTGATTTGCTTAACAACCTGCACAAAAAAGGTCATAAAATCAGGTCAGTCATGTGACGGTGTTATGACTGTCACAAATTGCAATCACAATGATCTGGCTCATTGACAGCTATAAGTCAAGGACTACCTGTATTTCATCTTGCCTCTTCCCAGCACCTTCCTTTACAACATGCACCACACTGGGTGCTTTTTGAGAATATAGTCTCAAATGGGGCAACAATGTGGTGCAAAGGAGGAGGATGATCAGCTGTATGAATTCAAAATGACTTCTACATAAATGCAAATTATCTACCTTTTTTTTCCCTGGAACCATGAGGTCCACCATCCAGAGCAGAGGCATAATGAAATGAAATAGAATAATAGCATAAACAAACCTGATCTAAAATTGTGCAGGTGAAAAAGATATGGCACAACAAGAGGTAGGTATTGGAACAAATTATTTTACAAGGTCAGTAAAACACTTTTAAAGGTAAAAATACAAACTAAAAATATTATGTTACCTGAAGAACATTTTCTGATAAAAAGTTTTGTCTGCAAAATGCGGAACTTGCTTGAAAGCCCTCTTTTGAAGACTGGCGCCACCCCTAAAAAGTGGAAATTTAAAATATCACTTTACTATTTAATCCCCAAAGTTTAAAAGGATCTTAACATGATCAAAGTGAACTTATCAACTCTTACCTTATATGCTTGGATGAGAGCCAGATAATCACTGTTTCCTATGGAAAACTCAAGCTTTTTCTTGTATGCCACCTCTCTTTTGTCCCAAGGAGAAATCTTAATAATTAACATAAAAGTTCCATTACATAGCTAATATATTTAAAATTAAAATTCAGCCTCAGCTGTATAGAATTTATCTAAAATCTGTGTATACATAGGAATGAATTACAGTAGAACTTCTCAAAACTGGTGGTGTTACAACCCTGTAAAATAATAGATTAATTGACTGCCTCCCTCATTAAAAAAAACTGTCAGGCTATACTTGACCTCAGCAAAGACCAAGTAGCATAGTCCTATGCAGATATTTAAAAAAAACACCTCTGTTCAGCAGCCTACAGATCCATGTGGAGATGGTTTCTATACAGAGACTCTCAGAAGACATTCATCTACAGGTAGTCTTCACTTAACGACTACTTGTTCAACTATTTTTGAAAGTTGCAACACTGCTGAATGAGTGATACCTATAACCTGTACCCGTAGTTTCAGCTATCACACCAACCCCTGTGGTCATGAGATAACAATCCAGTTTGACAACTGGCTCACACAGGTAGGAATATCCCATGACCAAGTAATGTCACAACATCACATTGATCATGTCACATTGTTTCACCTAGCAACAGAAAGTCTGGTCCCAATTAAGCAAGGAGTACCTCTATTAAAGATGAAATTTGAAAGAACTATACTGGCAGCGTCATGCCCCTGGTGGAGACTGACTCTGAGGGAGAGGAGGAACAGCTGACAGGAAGTGCAAGTATGGCTCCATAGGTTGTGGAGGAGGCTAGGGAAGGGCACAGGGCCGGCTGGGCAGTCAGAGGAGGACCCAGGCCCATCCCCTCTCCATCCTAGGGCACACAGAAAGGAGAGGATAAGGGAGAGATGTGGTCTACTGGGGAGGAGAGGGCTTTGATCCTCTTCATGGCTGCAGCTGTGACAACTGGATAAGAGGACGGACCTGCGTACGGGTGAGTGCTGGAAACAAAGCGTGGAAATATTTCTAGTTTATTGTTCCTCTCTGAGTTTGGCAACCTTCCCAGTGTGTGTTCTGATATCTGTGGACGTCTTCAAGCCCTTATCTTGCCTGGTTTGTGTTTTTTTTACTCTCTGTCATTTAAACGGCATTTCCTCCTTCTTGTAACTGCTTGTGTGGGAGTTTTTGTCTCCAGTCAAGGATATTTGGAGCTTGGAAGCAAAATGAAGGAATAAAAGGAGCTTCACCTGTTTTTTGTGACAGTGTTTATTTTGTATCCCACCCTCGGTCATCACAGGCAGAGAGAACCATACTTATCTATCGTTTTTTAAAAATTTGACCAGGATTTCCATATAACATTTTAGGTTCCCCTCTTATGGACTTCTACTGGCTCCATTTATCCCACCTATGACTAACGTTTAGTGTTAATACTGGTGATCATCACTGATATTTGTATTATTGTTATATTCATTTCATTGTTAGGTAATTTTAATATTTTATACTAACGTTTTAGTCTTATCAATAAATTTAGGTGTATATACTGTATATCTATGTACCAGTGTGTTCTGTCCTAAATGAGATAATAAAGATTTGTTGTTATTATCAGGCTGCATTTTTCCAGGGCTTTCCAAATAAATAGGCACCCAAGCACAGCACCTCTTCTATTTCTTGTAAGAGAACACAATCCATCATGACAAAAGGCAAGCATGAA